TAAATATATTATTATAATTATAGTTTTATGTAATTGTTGACAAAGTGTGTGTGTGTCCTACTGGCATAAAGAACTGTTTATCTTAGAGTCTAAAATTATTAAAAATATACCTAGCTGGCCTAGGCCACTAAGTGCCTTGTGTTAAGTAGGTTAGTGTTGTCTGAAATGCTCTTGTGTATCTATGAAACTGTTACACAGCTTGTTTTTTACAGTGGTTATTAAGTTATTTAATTTTAGCAGTAACATTCACACTATTTGGTGTCTTTTAAAGAAATACTTAGCTGAAACATTGGCCGTGAAGAATAAGGACATTTAAATTCAGTGTGGCCATTTACAGTCAGTAAAAAGTCAATTTTGTATATGACAGTGAACATAGGGTATTATTTTGGTCACTAACTTTTCTCAAAGATTAATGTGCCTGTGCCATAATGTTTTTGATTATAAGTTAGCCATGTGAAGAGTGATCATTCAAAAACGTTAGATCCTCAAACAAATGTAGATGGATTTTTCAAAAAAAAAAAAAAAAAAAAGAAAGAAAATCTGCTTACGGGTTGTCCAGGAGTAATACAATGGGATTTAGTTCTTTCTTTGGTCGGTAATAAGCTCTGAGTGGAACAATGAAGTTATATAAGCCATTTCCAGCAGTTTCTGCTGCAACTATGATCAATTTATTTTTGAATCCATAGGCTTTGGCATCTTCATAGTAGTTGTGTTGGCATCCCTAAAATCAAAACAAGAAACAAGTTCAGTGGATAGGAATAAAGAGGTTTAGCTGTGATGTTGAAGTGTTTTACCATTAGAAACAGAAAACTGTATCAGATGACCCGATATAAACCTGATTAAACCTAAACAAACACTTGGAGATGAAAAGGATGAGGAAACATATTTATAGCTTGGTAAGTGCTCAAGAAACCTCACCTCTAAGCAGAAACCAGAATTTAACTCTGTTCAGATGCAAGAGACAAATAATGCGGTTTTATCCAGTAACTGAATCTCCCCTTACCTTATCCAGTCTTAGACAACAGAAGGGGACTTTTTCATGCAGAAGATGACAAAATGTGGGAGAGCTTCCAATGTATGGAGAGTAAGGAGGATAGCCTTTGGCATACCTAGGAGAAGAGAACATTTTTCAGCATAGGAAATTACTGAAACATAGTTGACTATACAACTATTTGATGGGACGTGTATAGCTATGTTTAAGTTTTGTAGTTACCTGTAGACTAGCAGAGTCAAGTACATAAAATGTATTTTGTAGCTTCAACCGATCTGATACAATTTATTGAAAGCTATCCTGCTTTTGTGGACTAAAGTAATTTTGCTTGGGTTTTTTTCTATACGCATCTTTGGAAATGGGTTGATAGATCATAGTGTCCTGTCCTAGTGTTTTGAATGCATGTACTGGAAACTTCTAAGGAAGGAAAAAAGGGAACGAAAGAAAGAAAATATAAATAATCGTGGTACTTGTGCTCTTCCTTCTCCATTTTTCTTTCAAACCCTTATCAAGAATGAGTGAAGAAGTCATTACCTTCTTGCTTTAATAACGTACTTCCAACATGGTTGGAATAAATTTTAAATGGCAAGTCCTCTTGCTAATGAGATTAAATTTCCAATTGGCCTTAGTTTTTAAGAAGATGCCTTTTAAATCTTGTATTTTAGTCTGCAGATTTAAGATGACTTGTTCTATTATTTTTTTCATTGGTCCTTTATGATCTTCCCTGGGGCTTCTCATGCTTGCCACTGTTGGAGAGGAGAAACTGTGCTAGGTGAGCCACTGGCTTAATTGTGTATTTCAGGTATAACATTCCTGTCAGTAATAAACGTAATTGCTTATCTGCATGGCAGTTAAAGGATTGAATTTTCCATTTTTATCCAAATAAGGCATCATTACTTTCATGATAACAAGCATTTTAAATTAGATTTATCTGTTTACAAATTAGTTGAGTCCTGTCTTTATAACTACAGAATGTAAGAAAAATTGCCTTTAAAATGCTATAAAAAAATTGCAATACACAGCTAGATCTTTATAACTGAGCATAGAAAATCTCCAGCAAATCATAGAATCATTAAGGTTGGAAAAGACCTCAAGGATCATCAAGTCCAACCATCAACCCAACACCACCTAACTCACTAAACCACGGAGTAGTTAATATGTTTTTGGTTTTTTAAATTTCAAAATAAGCGTAACAGCATTCTGCTAACAGACAATAGCATTTCATAAAAGGGAATAATTCCGTAGTTGGCCTTAATGGAGCTTGCTTGCTACAACTGCTTGGATTGCTCTGCATGTCAAAAAGTTATCTATGCTGTTTGCATAATATTATCTTTTCAAATTATTTTATACTTAATATACATACTCTAGGCCTGCACAGCCTTCATCATCTGATGGGGTAGTTTCATCTTCTGACTGGTCACTGAGCAGGTCACATGTCTGAAGCGAGGATGAGTCTGCAACCTCCAAAACAGGTGCGATACTGGGCCGCCTGCCCTCTTTACCTCCCTCAGAAGGAAGGGTTAGCGTAGGCCCGCTGGATGGTCGGCATCCTGTATCTTGTAAATCGATAGCCACTGTCCCTGAAGTAGTGTCGAAAGCATTTTCTCAATGTGGTCGTCAAAACATTTGAATGAGATTCTCATATTGAGTGGGAATTACCTAACTACACAGTAGACTGAAAGGAATATATCAATGGTGTTTACTACATTAAAATATAACCAATACTTAAGATATACCTGAAGAAGCCTTTCCTGCAAAGTAACACTTTTTCTGACAATTGATATATATTTTCTTCCTGAAGAAGCCTTTCCTGCAAAGTAACACTGACAATTGATATATATTTTCTTTCATATTTCTATGCATCAACAACCTGTAGGTTATTTTGAGCAAGGGCATTTTTTTTTAATTAAAGCAGCTTATGAAAACGTATTACAACCACCCAGTACTGAATGACACAGAAATTACGCATGTGATTTTCCTAGTTGTTTTGCATACATTTTATTATTACTTTTTTATGCAACAGTCTTAAGAAGTTTATTTCTGTATTGTCAGGTAAAAGAAAAACATTTTGCATACATTTTATTATTACTTTTTTATACAACAGTCTTAATAAGTTTATTTCTGTATTGTCGGGTAAAAGAAAAACATGTCGTGAGGGTTTTTTTTTTTTTTTCTGTACTTACCCATGCTGGCTATTATACTGTGTACGGGTAACCTAGAAGCTCCATGATAAGATAATTTCGACTCGTGGTTTTTTCTATGCTTTTCTTGCTTCTTTAAAGCTGAATTTTCTTCTTTGGTGATATTTATGTAAAAGCATATATCTGTAGAACTCATGATATATCGAGGACCTGGATTCAGCAAAATGTTTTTGTTATCTTCCTTTCTAACACCAATCAGACAGACTCCAAACCTTAATTAGAAAAGGAGAGGCATGGTTCATTTTGCATAGTCACATATATACCAGAATTTCCACTGTCAAAAATGAACCTCCAGCATATTTTTATATTTTGCGGATTATGAACATTTGCAGAGTTTTGGATGACAAATATTCTTGAAAAATGTTGTCCCCTAAATAGGCCACTTCTGATCAAACAGTTTTTTGAGCTCATGAATCCTTAGGCATTTGAATCCAGCATTTTTCTTAATCCCCATAGTATTATTCTAATTCTGTTCTAGTTGTTTTTTTTTTTTTTCCCCTATCAGATGAATAGTCCCTTCTGGGAAAATATTAGTAGAAGAATGGATATATAATATGAAAAAGTATTCATCATGTTAAATTGTTCCATTATTCATATGTAATGGAAACAATTTTCAGAATTCATTTTTGTGATTCACTCCTAGAAATTTACTTGGTTAGTGACAGAAAATGAGGAATTAAAGCAAAAAAAGATTTTTCTCTCACTAAGTATGAGAATAGACTCAGTGTTCGGGGTTTGATATACGTTCAGTGTGTTAAATATATGTGAATACACATGATTTGTGTTTAGTTTGTACGTTCACCTCACAGAGCAGCACTGAATAAGTGATGCATGGTCTGGAACCTAAAGAAGATGTGTTAGCATTTAACAGAAAAAAATATGGCTTTATTTTGAACAACCACCAGAATGAAGCATGTACCAGCTTTAAATTGAACATTTTGCATAAAATGAACACACCACAAAGGAAGCCAGATTGCCATCTAACTCCTAAATAAATAATAATAATAAAAACAAAATTAACACCCTCTCACCCACCCTTTTCTAGATTGTTTTGGACTTAGAAAGGGACCAGTGTTCTCATATAATCTCTCTAAAGTACAGATTTTTTCTGGTTATCAGGCTCATCCTATATATCCTTTATATTCTGTTCTCTCAAGACCCAGCTGGCCTTTACAGAACCAAGATGAGCTTTTACCCAACCAGCTGTAACTTAGAGAAAGATATCCTAAAATATCCATGAAATATTTTAGTGGCCAGATATTTAAACCCAGAAACAGAGTCATGTGTAAAATTGCAGCTCTGAGTACAGAGCTATGTTGCAGGCAGAACAAATAATTATTTGTTTGAACTTTTAATTGTTGATGGGAAAATAAACATACTTTTTATGTGCATGGAAAGAAGCGTATGTGAAGCTTTTCCCCTCATACTCAGCAAAAAAAGTACTTTCTTCCAGGTTAATATGATATACTTCATTACCAGAGCATCTGCCATACATTTTCTGCCATTGCTCCGGTGATTGCTGACTCTCCCTGAAATATGTACAGATAAAGAGAATATTTGAAAACTTAATGTAAAATTCTTATTAATCATAACAGTGTTTCATGGCAATAAAAACTACAAATGTCTATTAAAAAGGTCCCATAGGCTAATATGAAAGAAATATTTGAGATCAAAGCTTGGTAATACTGTAAGTTCAGAGTTTATTTTAACAAATTAAAGAGCATTTTATTCTAAGTAATATGCCTATAACATTATGTACTTTAATATCAAGAGAGATACGGCTGAATGACTTTAAATTCACACCATAATAAGTAGATTCATTGCAATTTAAAGTTGACGAGTGAAGCGAACAGCATGATCACTCTGTTCATAAAAACAGTCTCTTCAGGTGCTGCCTGGTAGATGTCTGGTTCCTGTTTGAAATAGGTAAAGAATCATTAAAAATAACTTAGGCAGGAAAGACCCATTTGGCTTTGGTCACTTCCCCCTTTATCTCGTAAGAAAGATTTTTTTTTTTTTTTTTTCTGCATTTGCTTATCAGTTCTCTTCAGCATTTACTCTATGGACATTTTTAGTTACTGTGTCTTGTATACTTTGACAAGTATATACCTTCTTTTCTCTAGTACAAAAAAAAATTATTACTTTAACCATATTAAGGATATAATCCTTTACTATATGCAGCTGATGTTCTTTATCCAAATGGAGTGTTAGTGGAAATGTTCCAAACCTCAGCTAACACCAAAACTTGCAGACTTGGGGCTTCTGTGAACTTCTTATTTTATTAAGTTTCATGTGGAAACACGGTTCAGACTGCATGAGTTTTACTGGATATAATGGATGCATATATATCAGTATATATATATGCAGATAGAGCACATCTCTACGTTTTATGTCCTGTGTTTTGCCACTTGGAGCTAAGATCTCAAGATACTGTGACACGCTCCTTTGTGCTCATTTGTACATTTTCAATATCCTAACACAATTTCTGTTTTTCTTACATTTACCATTCTTCTCCACCCTCAGTGTAGAAAGATTTTGTTTCGAGATGGAGATAAGCAAACTATTTTTATTGCAACAGTATTAACAAGCAATGCACTAGATGTAGAATAGCAGAACTAGAAATGTAATTACAGAAGAAAATTATTCTGTATTTCACTTTCCCCTCTAAAATAAAATGTTCACCTGTTAAAAGTCTGTTTGGTTCCAGTTAGTTGTCTAAAAGCTTCCCATGGGGCTGTTCTGTAAAGATCACATTAAGGTCAAGTCAGGCTATTTTATTCCAATACTTTGTATCATAATACAAACTGTAATAAAGTTCTAGTACTAGATCAGATAATTAGATAACATTGAAATATAAATATTAAGATTAATAATATAGATCAATAATAAAATTAGAAATAAGATTCAAGGTAGAATTTTGGTGTCTTACAGACTGAGGTTTTGAATTCCATAAACAGCTGAGAAGACAATGAGATTATTTACATCTAGTTTGTTTCATCTGAAAAGTAGCGTTAAAGATCAAAGCCAGTTTGCATAAAGAGCAAATGTCCCCTTAATTTTAATAGCAGGTTGGTCTGTCCTAAGTTCCTTAGAAAATGAACATTTTTCCCAGTGTTCTCACATATTAATACCAGGAGATAAGGTGTTTTTAATTTATGTACGTGTTTCTTTTTGTTTACTCTTTATTGTATTATCATTCTAATTCAGATCATAGAGAATAATATTTTTTCCTGTGTTCTGCTGCTTTATATTGCCTTCAACTCCCAGTATCCTCCCAGTGTACTTCCAGGCAGTGAATGGAAACCTGAATTATTAAGCAAATGGCTTTGAATAGACTTCAAAAAAAGATTACCCAAGAGTGGAAGCAGTTGATTCATTGTAGTCTCCCCATAACCCAAGTCTGTTCTTTTTATATAAGGAAGTCAGTACTGACAGGGACTCAGGTTCTACATAAAATGTGATGCAGGTGCTGGTACTAACCAGGAAAATGAAAAGGTAATGAAACAGGAACCAATGTAAAGGAAAGCATTTCACTGTTAACATTGGAAGTCTCTTTAACAAATACTCTTCATTATTTAGATCTACTTTAGTATTTAGTTTGGTTATTAATGCAGGTATAGTTAATTTTTTTTTATTTCTAGTTTAAATAATCTATTTTCACTTTATTTACTT